AGAGAGAGAGAGAGAGACAGAGAGAGAGAGAGAGAGAGAGAGAGAGTGAGAGAGTGAGAGAGAGAGAGATATCCTGTGGGAGCTGCTGGACGGCAGAAGCATCTGCTTGCACGCTGCCTGGCCATCATCTCAGCTGACCTCTGGCCTGGTGGAATTTGAACTCCAGGCACAGCCTGAGGAGTCTGCCTTGCATGTCTATGCCTGCTTCGCTTTGGTCCATCACCAACCATCGAGCGCGGCTCTGCCTCTTCGAGGCGTGCCCTGACCCTCCCTTCCATCGGACGAAAGTGCCATGTGGCTTCCTGGAAGTCTCAGATGATGCGTTAGCTAAACAGAAAGCAGCTGCTTCCGTTTAAAATGCACCGAGCGAGAATGGCGTCTGCTGCTTTTCACCAAAGCAAGAAAACGGGGGAGTGACCGAGGTCCGTGGCCTACCACGTGGCTCCTGCCAGTGACACAAAACATTATTTTTAGCAAAGAGCAGCTAATTCATTTCCTTCCCAAGGCCCTCCGGGTGGCATGGGGGTGGGGGCTGCCTGCAAAGCAATCCTCTTAAAGAAAGGCTCGGCTCGGCCTGGCCTGGCTTCGTGCGCGCAAGCCTTGTGCTGCCGGGGAGAACAATGCCGGCATTCTCCCTGCCTGTTCCAAGCGGCCCGCAGTACAGAGCACGTCCTGTTGGAAGCAGCTGCTGCAGAACACTTGGCTGAGATAGGGTTGCCCGCTCAAGCGGCAGAGGTGGCCAGACTCACTGCTAATGCACCCTCTTTGGAGGAAACAAAGCCGGGAAGCCGGTCTGCCTGCCTGTAGTTGGGCAATGGATTAAGGGGGTCGATCCAGAAACTCTCCATGGCTAAGCTGAGTATATTGGGGCAGGGGGGGGGGACAGTCTCTGGAAAGCTCTTCCCATCAGGAAGGACCCCAGCTACATGACAGGGCCATGCCAGTTGCTAGCCCAAGTCCAGCCCCATCTCCAGGAAAGGCTGGGGAAACGGCCGGGATCCCCAGAGAGCTGCTGCTATCAAGGTACTTCTTCTGGCCCTAGTTCCAGGATGCTCTCACAGCCTTCATGAACCGGCAGCCCTCTGATGGGTAGGAATACAAGCCCCACCATCCCCACTGGATGGGGAGAGGAGATGCACTACCCAACCCATCTGCAGGAGCAACCAGGCCTGTTTTCAGACACAGGGTCACTGCAGTGGAAAGCCGGTTCAGGACAGGCAGGAGAGGAAATGGGCGTTATTCTCAGCAGAAGTTGCTGCCATGGGATGTGCTGGTGGACATCAGCTTTAGAAGGGGGTTTGATTCATGTTCGGTGAACTTTTCTATCAGCAACTATTGAGTAGAACGCCAAGCATAGCATTTTGCAGCACACGCCTGAGGTGCCCTTCTCAGCTTTTCCAGGGAGGACTGATAAGGAGCCATGACTTGAACCCCGGAGAGCTCCTGATGGTCTGAAGAGATCGCGGGTGAGCAGAACCGATTCTACTTTTTGGCTCGACTCTGAAGTTCAGAACTGGAACCGGGGACATAGCGATGATGCAAGCGTGAAAGCATGTGCTCAGCAAACGAATGAACAGCACACCCACACACATGCTCAGTCCAAGGATTTGGACTCAGTACCAGGACCAAGCCCACACCGAGAGGCCTTGCAAACCACAGCCTAATTGCAGCTTTCCCCTAAATGTTCCTTCTGGCAAGTTTCTGCAAGCATTTTTTTCTTTTGATGGTGGAAGAGGTGAGTTAGGTCTTGGTACTGTTAGGAATCACCCTGAGACCTACCAGTAGTTAATACTGAGCTGCTGCCTAGGCTGGCTTAGGACAAGGCTGCTTCATCCATTCCTCAAGCAGTCCACATATTTCACCTACCATCCTGCCGAAATCCTTCAAGCCAGCTGCTGTTGTCACCCTCCACATTGCCATGGTCAGGAAAAGAGGAGTGAGGCTGAAAGAGCAGGGCTTCCCTTCATGGCACACACGAGGCTTGAACGAAGGACTTCCTGAACTGCACACGCAGACTTGATTTTCAGAAGTAGTAAACTGGCGGAAGAAAAACAAGGGAAGCTGCCTGACTTCCTGCTTTGCTGGTGGGATCCGTGGAAATTGGCCAATATGAGAAAAAGGAAGCCAGCCTCAACAGACCTTTGCTCCGCTTCAGCAGGGCGCTTTCTGTTTCAACGAGTTAATATTTGGCATCTTTCTAACAGGCACTGTTCAGAAAGTAAAATGCACGTGAACCTCTCTCAGGTGTCCTTTGATCTGAAAGAACCTTGTTCATTTTTTAAGTTATCCCCCTTGCTATCCTTGCAATATTGCAAATTCCTACCATGGCCCTGTGTTTTGAATGCTCTGTGTACAGACTGGGAGCGGGGAGGGGTGCTCTCTCCAGGAATTGTGGGACTCCAGCTCCCATCCTTCCTAGCCATGCTGACTGAACCTAATGAGAGCGGAACTCCAGCCATACCTTGGGGGTGGGGTTCGGTCACAAGTTCCCCAGCTATTTTAGAGACTGATAAACTTCTCTTGCAAGGGCTGGGTGCCCTGAAAGGTGGGTTGAAATAGTTCAACCACAGTTCAACTATAATAATTTGGGGGGGGGGAATTTCAGGGGAGGTGCTGGCCATTTGAAGAAATGCAGTCAGTAGGGGGAATGAGCTGTCTGTCTCCTTCTCCATTGTCCGTTGGCCCTCTTTTTGTCAACCACGAGCAGATACTAAGCCCGGCAGAGAAATTCAGGATCAGTTCCAAAATTTTTGTGGGAAAAGCAGCTTACGGATCGCCTTACCCCTTTTCTCTTCCTTAGCACCCCTGAGCCCCTCATCAGCAGAGCTTGCTGGTCAAATCTGTCCACTGAAGGCTGGGACCAGAAGGCCCTGCCTTTCTCCCTGTGCTGTGGAAGGCCTGCAGTACGAGGGATGGAATTCCTACCACCCGACTGTCTGCCCCCCAGCATCAAAACCACTTCATTTCTGCACACGGCTCATGTCTCAGAGGGTTGCCTCACTCCGTGGGGAGCAGAGATGCAGCAACTCCATGCAGCAGTGAAAGCACTGGAAATTGGAGCAGGGAGAAAATTATGGGGGGCAACACAAGGTGAAGCCCTGCCAACGCTCTCACTGGACATTATCCAAAGACATGCCCAGTAGCTGCTGGCTGCCTTTGGGCAGGGCATTGGGCTGAGAGCCTGCAACTCGCCGATCACATAGCAGTCCCTTTCAAACCCGCGGCCAGTGCAAGCGACTTGGCCGTGCCCTCCTCTCAGGCATGCCTTGCGGAGCTTCGGGGAAATCATGTGTTGTGAAGCACTTTATTCCATTGTTAGAACGACACAGATACACGCTGCGCTGAGGGTCGGCAATGTGGCGCCTTCCAAATGCTTGGGACTGCAATGCTCATCATTCCCACTAAGTGGCCATTTCATCAGCTGGAGCTTATGTGGTCTGAAGCATCTGGAGGGTACCGCCCCCCCCCCAAGCCTCCTTGAGGACCCAAATCTTCACAGGGAGCAACCCAGGGATGCAATCCGACCCAATCCCAGAACTGCTTTGTAGGTACAAAGCACACATCTGACCGCTTTTGCAGCAAGTTCCCGCTTCTGGAGCCGCAACTAGTGGGCACAGCCCCCCACAGCCTTCCCCACCTGGACGGTGGCCAGGTGACTGGGTCAATAAATCATTAGCATGTGAGCAAAGCTGCGCCAGATCTGAGCCAAGATCGAGGCGGGCAAGCCGTCCGTTCTCGGAATGGCCAACCAGCTTCCTTTGGGAAGGACACAAGTGGAATGGGGGTGCACCATACCCCTTTCCCCTGCTTCCCAGCAGCGAGCTGATGGCCACGCTGGATGGGGATGGTGGGACCTGCAGTACAACACACCTCAAAGGCTGTTCCCTACCACCGCGCCTGCTGAAGTAAGCGGCGCTCACCACAAGCACCTATTTGTCCGCACACAGGCCAGCAAGGGCATCCTACAAAGGGTCTGCCATCTGACCCCAAAACATCCGCAAACGAGGCCACTCCAACTTTGCAGCACACACAGCAACACGTGAGCATTGCAGCATGAAAGGCCCTCCTCGTGCCTCTTTTTTCGCTGTTCTGCATCACCCACCCAGGATGAGATGCTTGTGGAAACCCTCCATTAGGGTGGCGGCAGATCGAGCCTAATTGAGTCAAGCTCCCATCCAGCCTCCCTTCCTCATGAAAGGGAGAGGCAGCGCAACCCAGAGAGCATTTACACACAAATCAAACCCGGAGAAAGTTGTCACAAAACATCAAGCCTCGTCAAAGGCAAAGCTTTGCTTTGTTCCACAGCTGCCTTCCCTTTCCTATTGATGAATTAATGAGGGTGGGGTTTGGGGGGGGGGTTGGATATCATCTGGCACCTGACAGCAGAGATAAAAAGAAAAGAGGCTGCCAAAAAGCAAAGCAAACAAGTGTTGATCCACCAAGATTCTTCAGCATTTAGCACTTTGTAGTCAGGGAACCTGGAGAGCAAAACCGCTTCCCAGCAATTGTAGCCACAAACTGTTTTCTCCTCACTTCTTAACATTCTGAATTACCTCATTAACATGAACACAAATGAAAGGATGGCCTGTAGAAAGTACTTAGTGACTCACCAGCCACTGGATCGGGGCTTCCCTCGGGCAATCTCCTCTTTACTTCCTTCTAGAAATGAAAGACTCCTCGCCATGTGACATTCCTTCTAGGCTGCATACTAATCCATCCTCCACACCCCCAGACTGGCCTGGGGTGTCTGGGCGAGCCCAGCCCTTTCCAATCCGATTTGATCCAGTCCACCCAAATGTCCCCGGATGACCCTCAGGCTCACCCTCTTTCCCTCCATCACCCAGAACTGGGCAGTTTCCCTGGTCTTCCACAGTCCCTCCTCGACTCTGAAAGATCAAACCGCCTCCCGCAAAGGCTTAATTATATCCAGTAAGAGATTTAACCTGACATCCCAGGATCCCAGTCCCTTCTCCTCTCCCTCTGGCATCACCCACCACTGCAACACCCCCTCCCGCAAGGCATCAATATACAATTTCACCGAGGTTTTGCATCCCACTGGGACCAGCATCCTTGGGACATTCCAGATGCCTTCCCTGAATTTGCAGCTGGTTTTTTGAGAACCACGAACATCTTAAGATGCTGCAGGGTCACGTGGCCACAACACCCGGACCTGCGTCTGCATGCACAGCGGGCAGGGGTGTTGTTTTCTAAACACCTCTTACCTTCTCTGCCATCTAGCCTGCCAAAGAGCTCTGGAGAAGTCTGAAGCCTGTGCATTCCCTTGCTTCATTTTGGTTGAGTCTAATAAAGGTATTGCCTAAATACAGATCTGAAGATTTCTCCTCTCCATGATCAGTGTAGCCAGCTTGGTTTTTAATCAAGCCTTTTCTGTATGCTGGCTGATACTGAGCAGATAGGGAAAAAATTTCTACGTAGTGGCTCACACAGCATTCTTTAAGCAAAGCATGCTTTGGGCCCTTTGTTGTGTCTTTAAAATCTCTAGCATAATCCAGTTATTGTTTGTACATGGAAAGGTGCCTTTCTTCAAGGAAGCTAAGAGGAGGGGTGATGGATGGGACCTAGGTCTACATTTAAACGGTGCAGTGGAATACTGCAAAATTGACGTACACGGGTAGATAATGGCAGGAGAAGAAAATGCATGACTTCTGTATTGTATGCCTTTATCGTCTTCACACCCTAGGTTCTCTAGGCTTAGAAAGCCATGATGTTCCAGGGCTTTAAGATTACCACCAAAGCACTGGGGAACACAACTTCATAATGCCAAGTACTTCCAACAATTTTATGGATGTGTTTCCCAGGCTAATACTTATCCATTCATTTTATTTGCATCCTGCCTTTCTGCAAAGATATGTATGTATATGCATGTGTGTACAAGGTGGCTAAAATAAGGTCCCCATTAAAAACAACATCTTAACTAAAATACAGCATAGAAACAAACACATTTGAAGCACAACAATAAATCAACAGCACCAGCCAAGTAAAAACAGCCCTCCACAACAGAGCAGAGTTTATGGGCCTGCTGGAAGAAAAATGCCTTTGCAAACAACAAACAACGAAACAAAACTCAGAGGAGACTCCGAGGGGATCTGTTGGCGACATACAGGTATGGGAGGGGATGTCACATGGAGATGGGGAGAGACCTTCTCTGCAGAGGAGGGCAGGACGTGCTCCAACGGAGCAAAGTTCAGGGAGCCAATGTTCAGTTTGGATGCCAAGGTTCAGTTTGGATGCCAGGAAGCACTTCCTGACACTTAGGACCCCGAGCGTGTGGAATGGGCTTCCATGAGAGGTCGTTGAGGCCCCATCGGTGCGGGTGTTCAAGGATAGGCTGGACGTGCACATGGCGGGAATGTCGTGAGCGGAGCCAGCTAGTGCCGGAGGTCAGACTAGATGGCCCAGGAGACCCTTCTGACTCCCTCTATTTCTGTGTTTCTAAAACAACAAAGCAAGGGGCCCACCTCAACTCCCTCAGCAGGGAGTTCCAGATGCCTGGAAGGAGGAGAAGCTAAGCAGGAGCACACCTTCATCCTCACCAAATGGTGGCAGTGGGAGTGGTGGGTGAAGAGCTTCCACTGGAGATCTTTCAACATGGGCAGGATCCCATGGGAGAAGCCTGCCTTTCAGTTCCTCAGGTAGCTTCGACTGCTCTAGCCGGTGAGTGGCTAGCACTTGAGAGATTGACAGCCCGTTGAGAAATTAACAAGTGCTTGAACCGTGGACAAGTGCTTGAGAGACTGGAGCACTTGACATTTCTTAAACTGATTAGTTATTTACAGAAGGAAACGCAGCTGAATGACCACTAGTGTATTTTTTGCTGTTTCACATTGACTTCTACCACTCAACCCTACTGTATCCTCAAGTCCCTGATTATCAGCACCACAAATCATTCTAGCTACAGGTCTGGATGGCGGCAAGAAACAGCACTTTAAAAGCTGCCGAGAAGTCCCATCAGCCACATCTGGCATAGTCAATGGCGAGGACTCGTGAGAACTGTAGGCTCAGCTACCTGTTTCTAC